TCGCAGACAGCTCAAAATGAAGAGAAATCGATGAACACCATCACCTGAGTCAAACGCGATTATCCGGTGCCGTAAAAAAGCTAACGAGTGCAAGAAGCAAGACAACAAAGCGTACGAGTCAATAAAACGACAAAATGCGCAAAATGACGGAACAAGACCAAAACGGAAAAGCCCTTGGCGGCCGAGTCGCATCAAAACGACTCGGCCAAGGTCAGGTGGCTCGGCCAAGGCCGAGCCACCCCGGCCGAGCCACCATAAGGTGGCTCGCACAGTTCTGAGCCACCGTAGGGTGGCTCGCGCCCAAAAGTGCCCAAAACGCGTTTTTCGACGGTTTTTCTCGGGATTTTTTCGTTTCAGAGTCTCCCAAGTGCTTTGATATCATTCCTAACCGTGGTTAAGCGGTTATTAACTAAGGATAAGGTCAAATCATCAATTCCTATCCTAAAGCACTGCATCCGAAGCCTGTAAATACAAGCCTAGGGCCCCTATACACAGGCGATCTGAAATTTAGGCGAGGTGATGTCCTTGTGAAGAGTGAATCACAAATTTCAGAGAGGCTAACAGATCTTGGCGAAGTTCTTCAGCATAAAGAGGGAGAGTTCGAGAGATTTGAGGCTCATTCTCCTTTCCTCTGGATCAAACTTGGTTTCGATCTCGAGAAGAGTAGTAATCTCGCTTGGTCGAGATTATTTACTTCTGCGATTGTTTCCTTTGTGAAGCAAGAGCATTGATCTTTTATTCTGGTCAACAGGATCTGATCCGCGATGGTCCACGAATAAACCCTGACACAGGCAAAAATCCCACGTAAGTAGCGGGTGATAAATATCCTCTGCGTGTGTTTGAAGAGAGTTACATTTTTTTTATTTTCATTGTGTAAGAAAGTCTTATAAAAAGACTAATTTTACTTTGAATCTGTAAACGCTAAACGTGTAATGGATTCAACAATGAAAATAACTTTCGACGCAAACACGCTGGCGACCATAGTGGGAGCCAACAGTCTCGCTGCGGAGATTGTCGTGTCACAACCACGGATCAAGATCCCGGTTGAAGAAGAGGTCGAGTACGAGTTCGACCAAGACAAGTTTGAGGAATACCTCTCCTTATCCTCATCAAGATCTTCCTCGTCCCGCAAGTAAAGGAAGATATCAGCAGCAAAGAAGGCTCGGGGTGACTCTCGCCCAATTGTTGCTAAGGCATCTCCTCGTAACGCTCATCCGGCATCCAATAAAGCCGAGATTTCAAATCACAATGACTCATATTCAGTCTAGGAGTTGTTTAATGAAGGCGCGCCAATTCTGACAACGAGGGCTCGTCAGCGGCAACGCCAACGCCTCGCACGCTAGCTTGTCAAGGCCTTGGAGCCAGTTAACAGAATCCGTTATCACGCGGATCTGAAGTTCAGGGAGAGCCAAGCGCCTCAACAGCAAGCAAATGACGCCTCCACCAAACCATCGGCCAGTGAATGGGTCTGTATCAAAAGGACTCGTTTAACTCTTGAGGAGCGCATCCAAAAGCGCCGCGCGCGTGCCTTAGCACGAAAGGGGCAAGACACGTAGGAGGACAAGGTGGCCAAAAAACCACCAAAATCATACCAAGAATGGAGTCTGAATTCCAAAATAGCGACTCGGACAAGTGCCGAGACACCCGAAAACTATGAGCCAGCCAAGCGTGGCTTGGCCAGGACTAGGCCAGCTA